TATTCAAAAATATAAATATAATAAATAAAAAAATATATGAATTAGCAACCCTAACTGCGTCCACAAGAAAAAAATATAATTTAAAGATGAAAATTTATAAATCTGTTTCAATAAAGTTGGAACTACAACTCAATTATAGCCTTTATTTTAAATTGTCCCGGCGCCTCCACCAAACTTTTCAATATTTTGATGTTTCTTTGTTATAATCAAAATCGTACAAAAACTCAACATATTGAGTTATTTTAAAGAAAATTTAATCGACCAACACAAATTTTCTTATCTTTTTAACACGTGTACTTAATTAATTATCAATTAATAAAAACAAATGTTAGTGCATAAAGGCTCAAGAGTCAACAGTAGATAGTATTCTATGTCTATGTAATATCTATTACAAATAAAATTAACAAATGTCTTGCGAAATATGTATGAGTACGGACCTGGACGGTAGATAATAGCTATCTTACAGTCAATCCCTGTAATCTTTGATGTGCCCGAATACTGTCTACCGAATGCCCTAAATCATACAACGGATAGAACTTACGGGAAGTTTCCGGAATTAAATAATTAAAATCAAACGAGGTATAGAAATAAAGTACGTGTTTTCCTAAAGGGAATGATATTATTTTTACTTCAAAAAGTACTAAATTATTAATGTAATACTGTCGTAAAAGTAGAGTATCCTTAATTAGGTAGATACTTCCTTGATACGAATCGATAATCAGCCGTTATATAAACGATATATAACCACGTAAAAAAATTATTACTTCTATCTGGGACATTAAAATGTCGTTATAAACAACATTTACAGTACACTGTAGTAGAATACCTGCCTGAAAACACCCAACTGATCCATCCCCCTAAAACAATCATGGGCAAAACGTTGGCCATATTCCCCTTCAACAAATCTAATAACAAATTTGGATTCGCCAAATTTTGCTGAAGAGTCACACTGTCCTGCGTCAGATATCCAACGTCTTTGTCGTTGAAGAAGTTCTTCCTGCACTGAAAGGCCTTGTTGGGAATGTATTTGTTATTTTCACGTAGAGCTTGCACCCTCAAGATCGCATGCGAATATTGCAATTGGTGCCGGTCGAACTTTTTCTGATTGGTTATCATTATCAGTAAATAATGACGTAGTAATCCGAACAGAAATGTTATTATAAATATCGGAAGGAAGACCCACAGGCGTATTTTAGAATCTACCACTAATTCGGGCGCCATCATGAATATAAACCCTCTTTTAATGGTGAATACCAACAAATTAATTGACAGACTGTCAAACGCTAATACGTAATTAAATTTTTGCTGGTATCTAGATTAATTGATGCTAGGACGTTGACACCCCTAATTCATCGATTTTGCATTTTCTTTTATGTTCTGTGTTCTATAGAGATTGTTCTATAGCTGTTAATGGACTGTGCCGATAGATGGTTCTGTATTTTTTATGATACAATCAAAAAAATGAAAAATAAAAGAATTTGTTCAAAAATTTTTTTTGGCATCTCAGAGTTCTAGGTGGGAAAAACAGTTCCACAATGCGGTAAAAACTTGCTATTCGAGCTAGATAATGATTTTTAGGGTTGTACCTCTACAAATATCTCGCTTTCCTTGGAAAAATACCCAGCAACACATACAGTTGAGGGAGGTTCAAATATATTCACTTTTATATAGGATATAGGGTCAGAACTACAGTAAAAACACGCGATTTGCGTTTTGTAGGCGTATGAATCGCTGAATATCACTTTGTGGGTCAAAAAAATAAGTTCTAGGGAAGAAAAAGACTTCCAAGGGTGAAAAACTCAGATGGGAGCCGTTCTAGTCATAAGTGCTGCAGAAACTCACGAATCCTACAAGTCATATTAACACCAAACTGTCTTTCATCATCATCATAAGGTCGTCAGTCCTAAGACCGGTTGGACATGTACCTCCACTCTTTCTTATACTAAACTAAACTTCGCATTTCCCTAAAACTAGAACAACCCACATCCTTACCTATTTCCGAACACTAATCTAATCCAGGTCTACCTCTACCCCTCTTAACTCCGGTTTCGGCCTCTAATATGTCTCTGACTAGACCTTCATGCCTGAGAAGGTGTCCTACCAACCTATCTCGCCTATTTTTTATTGTCTTCCATAGAGTCCTCTGTTCTCCTATTCTTTCCAATACCTCTTCATTTCTAACCTTTTCTACCCACGATATCCTCATCATCCGCCTATAACACCACATTTCGAACGCTTCTAACCTTTTCTTTTCCGCCGCTCCCACTGTCCATGTTTCGCACCCGTACAACGCCGTGCTCCAAACATACACCTTTAACAACCTTTTTCGAATTTCTAAATTAACCGTTCGCGAGCATAGAAGTGACTTCTTTTTATTAAAGGCGACACGACCCTGCGCTATCCTCTGCTTTATATCCCTACTACTCCTTCCATCCTCACTTATCTGACTTCCTAGGTATCTAAAATCAGCCACTTCTTCTAATTTTTCGTCTCCTATCTTTATATTCGCTCTTTCCCTACTTTTTCTTCCCTTGCATATCAGTATTTTAGTTTTACTTTTATTTATTTTCATACAGTACTGATCTGTCAGTACCGCTTCCATTTTATTTAAAGCTATCTCTAGGTCCTCCTTGCTAGATGCTAATACTGCTATATCATCTGCAAATCTAAGCATACTAATCTTTTGCCCTTGCACATCTATCCCTACAGTTGTACTGTCTTTAATGATGTTGATGGCGTCTTCGATGTATAGATTAAAAAGTAGCGGTGACAGTGTGCATCCCTGTCTGACTCCCTTCCTAATATTTACTTCTCTACGTTGCAGCCCCAGCTCTATAACTGCCTGTTGCTCTTTATACAAACTAAGTATCACTCTTCTACATCTCTATAACTCATCCCTACATTTTTAATTATATTTAACATCTTGTCCCATTTAACATTGTCAACTGTCTTTATACTACCAAAATCAAGACCGGACTATAAGACCAAAACTAAAACCAAGACTGAGTATGCAAGACAAAAACCAAATACACAAGACTGGTATGCTTCGCTCATCAGTAATTTCTTTCTATTATTATCAAAAATTCAAAAACACTTTATATAGTCAATTAAACAAATCGATTTTTACATAAGAGCAATAATTAATTACTGTTGATTACTACTTCCAGTATCAAATCAAATACTATCTAATGAATCCTATCATTTCTTTAATTATTTATTTATTGTACGTGCTTATAATCAACCCACACGTGTAAAATAATTAGGTAAAAGTGGCAATTATTGGTAATTTCTCTATCACAATTCATTTTTTCCGACATTAAACGGACTGCTCTTATTCAAACACAGGTGTCTTGCGCTCTGTAATAACATTACATTTATATTAATCAAATATGAATTTGAATTACTCTTGACAGACGAGGAAGTAAACGGTTTATGCACTTATGCGATATCTAGAAAGTGCTTTCCAATCGTTAGGAAAATTAAACCTTAACGACATGTCTCGTTCGATATTTTATTTTTATTATCCTGTCAATATGTAAAACATTTATTATTATTTGAAGTTCAATTAACAGTAGTCTTATATCGATAGATACTCGACTTTCTATTTACCGAAAAGATTTGTTGATAATCAAACATATGACGATACTGTCATCATCATAAGGTTGTCAGTCCTAAGACTGGTTGGACGCGTACTTCCACTCTTTGCTATCCTGAGCTAAACTTCGCATTTCCCTAAAACTAGAACAACCCACATCCATAACTATTTGCGAACAGTAATCTAATGTGTGTCTACCTCTACCCCTCCTAACTCCCGTTTCTGTCTCTAATATGTCTCTGACTAGACCTGCCAACCTATCTCGCCTATTTCTTATTGACTTTCACAGAGTCCTCTGTTCTCCTATTCTTTTTAATACCTCTTCATTTATAACCTTCTCTATCCACGGTATCCTTTTCATTCGCCTGTAACACCACATTTCAAACGCTTCTAACCATTTCTTTTCCGCCGCGCCCACTGTCTATGTTTCGCACCCGTACGATGCCGTGCTCTAAACATACACCTTTAACAACTTTTTTCGAATTCCTAAATTGACCGTTCGCAAGCATAGAAGTGACTTCTTTTTATTAAAGGCGACACGACCCTGCGCTATCCTCTGCTTTATATCCCTACTACTCCTTCCATCCTGACTTATCTGACTTCCTAGGTATCTAAAATCAGCCACTTCTTCTAATTTTTCGTCTCCTATGTTTATATTCGCTCTTTCCCTACTTTTTCTTCCCTTGCAAACCAGTATTTTAGTTTTACTTTTATTTATTTTCATACAGTACTGATCTGTCAGTACCGCTTCCAATTTATTTAAAGCTATCTCCTTGCTAGATATTGCAATAATATAAAATCTACCTAAACTTTGTTTGGTGCTTTTTTTGGTAAACGATGATAAAATTCTAGATTAAGGTTCACTATAACATTTAATGAACTAATAAAATTGTTTTAGCGAAACTATTTCTTCTGTTTTAACACTTAACTTTTAACGTAATAAGATGAAAAATATTTTTTCCTGATCTTATGTTTCTTTAGTACACCACACTACACCTAAAGCTAATTCCTAGTAAAATTATTTCAATTTGAAAAAAAACGGACAGATAGACACACGAGTGATCCTATAAAGGTTGCGTTTTTTATTCGGACATACGGAACACTAATCCGAGAACAACTTAACATTTTAGTTAAAAAAAACATGTTTTCCCATACATTCAAACTGGAAATGTAAATGTTATATTATGTTCAAAACATAGATTTCTTATTAATTTTCCTGTAATCTATAATTAAAGAACTATTTTCTGTATTTATGGTAATGGTTAATTTTCATCTATTTTCTTAAATAACTTTAAAGCTATTTATTTTAAAATTGTCAAGAAATATATTTGAGACTCTTAAAACACGCCCTTTCACTTGATATGTCCCACAAAACTTTTTTTTTCAATTTTATATCGGTCCCCAAAAATGACCCCCCATGTTCAGAATCAATTTATTTACGTTATGCGCTAATGGATATATTGAGCGCGGCTGATTTTATGTATCTAGAAAGTCAGATAAGTCAGGACTGAAGGAGTAGTAGGGATATAAATCAGAGGATAACGCAGGGTTGAGTCGCCTTCTATAAAATGAAGTTTGAAGCACGGCGTTGTACGGGTGCAAAACATAGACAGTGAGCGTGGCGGAAAAGAAAAGGTTAGAAGCGTCAGAAATGTGGTGTTATAGGCGAATGATGAGGATAACGTGGATAGAAAAGGGTAGAAATAAAGCGGTATAAGAAACAATAGGAGAACACAGGACTCTACAGAAGTCAATAAGAAATAGACGAGATAGGTTGGTAGGACACCTTCTCACGCATAAAGGTCTAGCCTATATTGTTTTCTC